TTTTATTTATTATCACAGAGCTTATGTTCTTTTTATAGGAAACAGCCTGCTGTAGGTTCCCCATTTCTGTTATATTCTGTGTATGCTTTATTAGATTCATAATGAAAACTTGACTAATAGTATATTGGATACTAAGGGCGTAATCGTTCATCTCATTCTTCATCATTACATTCTTGAAACTGGTACGAAACTTTTCAAAAACAAATTGGTTAACTCTTGCCTTGACTTGAGGAGAAAGTGCTATCGGGCAGCGTCTGGCCATGAGCGTGAGGGTGCGGATGATTCGGCGGGACAGCGGTCGCTGCATGCGGATGAGGCGCGGCTGGAGGATGAAGAACGTACGAGGCCGTGGGATAAGCGACAGAGCTGACGTAGCCGCCGGAAGTAGTTGAGGACAACTGTTTCCTGAGCCTGGCTCGCCGGTTACTGAACCAGACTTGAATCCTGGCCTCGGTCAACTTGGTCCTTTGCGCCAACTCTTCTCTCGTGTAAATGTCCGGGTACTGCGTCCTTTCGAACGCTCGTTCCAGCTCATCTAATTGATGAGCGGTGAAAGTTGTTCTGCTTCTACGCTGCTTCCGTTTCAGAGGGATTCCTGGCTCGCTGTCGCAATCGGATCCGGAACTGGTTTTGCCTGGAAACAAAACGAACGTCATATGTTAATAGAAATTTAGTAGTATTTAGAATTATTTTCTAAACCAATAAATACTCTGAAATTTTATACAAAAAAAAACATTTTACATCTAACGATGTTTAGGATGCACATACTTCATTATAAAGAAATTTATATTTATAAATTCCATACCACATAATAAAACTAATAAAACCAATAATAACCAGCTTCCACGATACTCCTTAAGGACATCTATCTAAAAAACAACATTTATTTAAAATATACCCAATCTTTTTAAACATGCATATTAAATAATTCCATTGAAGAATTTATGTAATAAATTCGAGTAAATAAGGTACGAAGAAATGGCATTATCTTTATGACGAAGTCGGTAGGAAAGTGGGCGAAAAAAGATTACAGAGTAGAAAATAAGGCGGAGAGGGAAATGACTGGGTCACACGTTTAATAAATATTAATTCCCCATGCACGTGTCACCTGCTCGGCCACGTCTCTCCGTCCAGGTGAATGCACGTCCTGGTTTATGGTTTGTTTTGCCGTAGCGAGAGTTCAAAAGGAACCGCTTCGCGCTCGTACTACGCCCGCTTGTTTCACACTCGATTTCACGATCGACTCGTTTGCCGTCGCGTTACCTTTATTTCCCCTACGTCCTTTCTCATCTCGCGACGCATAAGAATTTAATAAACTAGTCCCCGGCAAATAACACGCTCCTTATTTGAATACGTAACACGAGTTCAATACCGTAATTTATGAAACAATGCTACGGAGTAATCGAAATTACTTGTACATAATAGGAAGTAATATGGAATTTAAATAAATTGCGAATAATGGCGAAGGCATTTGAAACCGCACTAAAGGCACATTACGTAGGGAATTCAGAATGTGAGCGTATTAACATTCTGGAAGAAAATTAGGTGATAGTGT